CAGTCTGGGCAACAGAGTGAGACTCCATCACACACACACACACACACACACACACACACAAATCTGGCCAGGTCTGTAATCACAGCACTTTGGGAGGCTGAGGCTGGAGGATCGCTTGAGCCCAGGAGTTGGGGATGAGCGTGGGCAACATAGGGAGACCCCATCTCTACCAAAAAAAAAAAATTTAAATTAGCTGGGCATGGTGGTATGCACCTGTGGTTTCAGCTACTCAGGGGGCTGAGGTGGGCAGATCACTTGAGTCTGGGAGGTGGAGGCTGCAGTGAGCCAGGAGAGGCATAGAACAGATTCTCTCTCACAGCCCTCACAAGAAACCAACTCTGCTGATACTTCCAGCCTCCAGAAATGTGAGACAATAAATTTCTGTTTTTTATGCCACCCAATTTATGGTACTTTGTCCCTGCACCCTAGGAAATTAATACGAGAGGGAAGACAAAAACTGGGTAGACAACCTGCAGTTGTCTATTTAAAAAAATAGGGTTTATATTTAGAGCAGGTGTAGGGTCATAGAAAAACTGAACAGAAACCATAGGGTTCCCACACAGCCCCTACCCATCCACACACACAGCTTCCCTTCACTATGTACTATGTACATTTATTACATTTGATGAACCTACATTGAGACATCATAATTATCCAGTCCATGGCTGACATTCGTGTGTGTGTGCGTGTGTGTGTGTGTGTGTGTGTGTCTGTGTCTGTGTGTGTGTGTCAGGGTCTCACTATGTCCCCCAGGCTGGAGTGCAGTGGCATGATCTCAGTTCACTGCAACCATCACCTCCCAGATTCAAGTGATTTTCCTGCCTCAGCCACCCAAGTAGCTGGGATTACAGGTGTCCACCACCACACCTGGCTAATTTTAGTATTTTTAGTAGAGATGGGGTTTCAACATGTTGGCTAGGCTGGTCTTAAACGCCCAGCCTCAAGTGATCTGCCTGCCTGGGCCTACCAAAGTGCTGGGATTATAGGCATGAGCCACCACTCCTGGCTGAGAATTCTTATATTATCTCAGGTAAGGTTAGCCTTTCTAATTATGACACAAAACTAAAGTCATGGAAAAGACTGCTAAATTTCACTACATTAAAATTATTTTAATGCCAAAAACCATTAGGAGCAATACCATTTGGCAAAAAACAAACTAGAAAAAAAAATTAAAACTCTTATCACTAAGTTTCCCAAAATATTCAGTATCCCTACAAAAGGCAAAAAACTGACAGAATTTGAGACATCATAATTATCCAGTCAATAGCTGATGTTCACGTGTGTGTGTCTCACTAAGTCCCCCAGACTGGAGTGCAGTGGCACAACCTCAGTTCACTGCAACCTCCACCTCATACCTATAATCCCAGCACTTTGGGAGCCTGAGGTGGGTGGTTCACGAGGTCAGTTTGAGACAGCCTGACCAACATGGTGACACCCCATCTCTACTAAAAATACAAAAATTAGCTGGGTGCGGTGGCACAAGCCTGTAATCCCAGCTACTCAGGAGGCTGAGGCAGGAGAATCACTTGACCCTGGGAGGTGGAGGTTGCAGTAAGCCGAGATCATGCCATTGCACTCCAGCCTGGGTGACAGAGCAAGACTCCACCTCAAAAAAAAAAAAAAAAAAAAAAAAAAAAAGAAAAGAAAAGAAATCCGAATTACAAATGCACATAACCTTTCATCTAGCAATGCCACTTCTAGGAATTTTCCCTTTGTAAATACTAACACATTTGAGAAATGACTTATGTAAAAGGACATCCATTTTGGTAATGCATGTAATAGCAAAAGAGTGGAAACAACCTAAATGTTCATCAATAGAGGGCTGTCTAAATAATGGCCAACTAAAGGAATTGCATGAGGCCTAAAAGAGAATGACAAAGGTTACATATTTTAACATGAATTCATCTCCAGAGTGTATTGTTATGTGATGAAATACAACAAATTCAGGGGTCGGGCGTGATGGCTCATGCCTGTAATCCCAGCGTAGGAGTCTGGGTGAGAGGCCAAGGTGAACGGATCACTTGAGCCTAGGAGTTCCAGACCAGCCTGAGTTAAGATGGCAAAACCTCATCTCTACAAAAAATACAAAAAATTAGCTGGGTGTTGTGTTGTGCACCTGTAGTCCCAGCTACTTGGTAGGCTGAAGTGGGAGGACTGCTTTAGCATGGTAGGCAGAGGTTGCAGTGAGCCAAGAACACACCACTGCAATCCAGCCTAGGTGACAGATTGAGATCCTATCTCAAAACAAAAACAAAGAAAAAATTCATGGTACTATTTCCTTGTGATAAGAACTGGGGAGCTGGAAGAAAGAGTGGGAAGGAGAATTCACCATTTACTCTCTTGTGAATGGTCCAAATACTGAACCATGTGAATGTATTTCCTATGCAAAAATTTAACTTAAAAAAAGAAGTCCCATTACTGATCACATTTTATTGAAACATGGAACTCTCCATTTCCAGGAAGAAAAGGTTAATAATGAGGAGCTGCGGGTTAGTAAAATGGCTCCATATACTCTAAGTCTATGGAATAAATAACCAAAACAAAAGTTGAACGTTTTCATAATTTAAAGAATGTTCTGGGACTCAAAAATCTATAGAATCTTTTATACTCAGAACAAGAAAAATATCAAAAAGCATTAGAATATAAAAGAAATAATTTTAAATGGTTTCATCTGACACAAAAAATTTGAAAAACGTATATGAAAATGACATCACAAGAATTAAACTTTTGACAAAGGCAAATTAAAGCAATGTAATAATCTAAAAAAAAAAAAAAAAAAACCCAGACATTTTAAAAACATTTGGCCACATACATGAGTCCAACTAGTAGCCCTAGAAAAGAATACTGACTGGTTCATGCACTGAAATTCCTGACCTTGGTCTTTAACGCCTGGGGATTTTAGTTCTGAAATGTCTCAAACATGTATTTTTCTGCCAGTGTTCCAGTTAAAGCTTTCTTCTAGGCTATTTCAGTAAGCTGACTGTCACTATGACTTCATCCCCACACATCCTTCTCATTGCCGCTAGAATTTATGGCATAAATCTAATGGTCTCACTACCTTGCAAAATGCTTTCATTAGTTACCCATTGCCTAAATAGTAAAGTTCAAATGTTTTTGTGTGGCTATCTTCTTTTTTTGCTCCTCTTCCCCAAAAATACCTTCTTCCCTAAATGTGGAAATTGCTTATTTTATCTTTTTTGGCTATTGGTCTTGGGTGGAGATCTGACTCTCACCAAGCCAATTAACAGTTTACGTTGGAAATTTCAACTTTGGACTGAGAGTTCATTTCTCTTTGGATGCCTGTAGCATCCAAAAGTTCAGTACTCAGTGGCCATGTTTTCTGCTAATTAAACCTAAAAAATGAAAAAAATCTAGTTATAAAAGAAAGAGAAAATGAAGATGTTTAGAGAAGCTGGACCCACAGTTAGGAAATTGTGTGTTCAATCCCAGCTCTTCTTTTGAGTCCAGCCACATCCTTGTCCTCAAGTTTAGTGAGACAAGTCAGACTCCTTATAATAAAATCCCCCTCATAGGCTGGTTCAGACTGAGTTTCATATACTGACCCAGGTCAGTCCTAATCCCACTGCATATGGCAACTTGGCAGTTTAACCACAATCTACCTTGCTAGCTTCATTTCTGTGTTCTGACCACACCTCCATTCTATCACATACTAACACTGACCTAGCAGTCATTTCCCCCATATTCAATTCTGTTCTTGAGCCCTGCAGTGCATTAACCTGGGATGACTTTCTTCCCTCTCCTTGACATGGAGAATGCCTCACATCTGCTGAGATGTTGCATAAATGCCCCCCCACCCCCACTGTGAAACTTTTTGAGTATCTACTGCTCCCATATCCAAGCCAAAAGGCCACTCCATTCTCTGTGCTCACTGTCCTTAGTATATGCTTCTTTGATTACACTGATCGCATTATATTGTAGAATTCCTATTTGCTTGTATACTGTTTTGTAAGTTCTTTAAGGACAATGTCTATGTAGCTCCACTGCCTAATACAAATAGAGAACACATGACCTGTACTTAATAAATGTTTGTTTAAATCACGTTATTCCAACAAACCAAGTGAATTCACCCTGGCCACACAGGCTGTAGCAAATGTGCTCCTAAAGGACATAACCAACTTCTTGTCTTAATATCTGATTAAGAAAGCAGTCTTTCATGAATAATGTCAATTTTGTGTTTGAACACAACAAGTGTAACTTAGACGTGAAATAAACTGATCAGGAGAAGCAGAATCAACATCAGAAGCTCCTACATCCCCAATCCTATGGCATATAAATCAGTAACTGCAATCTTATACCAGAGACATAGTTAATTCTCTTCTTTCTCATATTTTATAGTTATTCATTCTGCTAAATGCTTTTATGTCTAAATACACATCAACCCCTCTTGCCCCATTTGCTTTTTGCACTGAAGTATTCTAAAACAAATTGGATTACTAAACCAAGAAACCACAAAAGTTATCAGTTAATTTTAATACTTGAGTTTTTTTTTCCTGAAGTGTTCTTTAACCTCAAATGTATACAAGAAAATAAATTTCCAGGGCCGGGCGTGGTGGCTCAAGCCTGTAATCCCAGCACTTTGGGAGGCCGAGGCGGGTGGATCACGAGGTCAAGAGATCAAGACCATCCTGGTCAACACGGTGAAACCCCGTCTCTACTAAAAATACAAAACATTTGCTGGGCATGGTGGCACGTGCCTGTAATCCCAGCTACTCAGGAAGCTGAGGCAGGAGAATTGCCTGAACCCAGGAGGCGGAGGTTGCGGTGAGCCAGGATCGCGCCATTGCACTCCAGCCTGAGTAACAAGAGCGAAACTCCGTCCCAAAAAAAAAAAGAAAATAAATTTCCAATGGGTTGGGGTTTTTTTGTTGTTTGTTTTTAAAAGTGTATAATATATATAATATTATCTGGAAACTAGCAGAAAAAAGGGATTGTTTTGTTTTATACTCTACCCGTAACCAAACAAAAGAAATAAGACACAATTTCTTTGTGGCTAAGCTGGTTTATTGAACTTTATGGGGGAAATGTAACAGTGACACTATTCCACAACAAAATTATTTAACTTTAGATTTCATGAGGAAACATGTATGTGCAATATACTTTCAATAATGCATTGTTACTAATAGCCAACTATATTAGATTCTGGGGTAGTTTCCTTTAGTGCTCTCAAATTAAGACTTTTCCAAAACATATCTGATATTTCAATTATTTATTTTCAATTAAAGGTCACAGTTAAATTCCATAGATTTTTTAAATGTGTGATTTGTGCTTTAAAAATTAATAATTAGTTGTTGATAGCTATCATTTTGGAAGTGATTTTCAACAGTCAATGAAATGTTTTATAAATATTTTAAAATATTAAAAGTTTTATCCCCATTCAACTGGTATGTTCTTTTCAAAAATAAAAACATACATATAAAAAATTAAAACAATAAATTGTTACAAATGAGATACAAATATTTTAAAATAAATATTAAAGTTAAAAAATAAGTCCTTTCACAGAACTGTAAAGGATACTACTAACTCCTTACAAAAAGAAATAAAGTTACTCTTTTTAAAACCATAGTAACAGCAATAAAAAACCATAAATGTGCTTGGAAAGTCTATAAACTTTCTTCCCCAACTTTAGAAAATATTTTGAAAAGCAATAAACAGAGTCCCTTCTTTAAAAAAAAGTTGTTACACTCATCACAATTACTACAGCTGTCATTGTTTTATTACAAAAATAGTTATAAATCAAGATTTAGATACAAGTAAAACAATTTTTAATTTTTAATTCCAGCATGATTAAGAAAAATGATCTCTCTATATGCAAATAAAGCCAATTTGAGCTCTAATACTAAAAATGGAATAATCACTTCCAATAATTACTATTCTCAGTTAGCTCATTTAATAGAATTATCTTTATAGTTAAATTGTTCAGTTTGGACCACCATGATCAACAAAAATCTTAAACTAGATTAGATTACATTTTTAGTTGATTTCCCACATTCTGAAAATATTGTTAAGTACAATAATAATCTTTTGGCTTAATTTCCTCCAAAATTATTAAGGACAATAATCTATCAGAATTAGTGAATGTGAACACTTCAGTTAAAGTCATGACTTACATTCCACTTATGTAAGTAGTTTAATATGTAAGCTTGCTATATTTTATGGGCAAAGACTTAAATTCAAAATAAAAGTATTTAGGTTAAAAAACTTTTGAAATATTCTTTCCATGACTGAAGGATAGAAAAGATATTTTTCAATATCTAATTTATCTTTCATACTGAGGAGGAATAGTTTGTCGTGACCATAAAATTTAGACATCTTAAAAATTGATACGACACAATACTATTACAGAAATCCATATGGACTAATAGCAATTAGAGTTGTGCCTTCACTGCTACAATCCAAATGGAAGTTGATTTGTTAACTTGGCATTTAGAATTAAATTTATTGGAGGTGACGGGAGAGCAAGTGATACGGTACCAGATACACTGCTTGAAATTACTAAAAGCTAAGTAAGAACAGGTCTCCTGTGTTAGCTAGGAGCTATTTTCCCCCAAGTTACAACTTTTCATATGCTTTCGGTTAGTTTTTCACTGTTTAAAGATATCAAAATAAAATATAAAGCACCTTACAATGTCACTTCATTTGCCTAAAATCTGACTTATTTTTGCATATTTTAATAAGATTTAGTAAGAAAGCAACTCAAACAACTCTTTTTAAAAGTAACAATGATTTCTGTAGATCTGATTAATATTAATTAGAAAATCAAACACCTAGAACTCTTGGGAAAGTCATTCTTTATGGACTGGGAACCAGAAAACATTCTATGCCTTCTTATCCCACTGAAACTAAAGTCTTGGCTCTAAAACATACGAATAACAAAATTAAATATGCTAATAAAACAAAGAAAGGCCAGATGCAATGGTGAGCACCTGTAGTTCCCGTTACTTGGGAGGCAGAGGTGGGAGAATTGCTTGAGCCCAGGAGCTCAAGGCCAGCCTGGGCAACACAGCAAGACCCAGTCTCTAACAAAAAACAAAAAAAGAACTCTGCGTAGAGGCTAATACCAGTTTTTATCCTATTTAGAACACTTCCCATTCAAAGGACATATCATTAGGTGTGTGCTAAACCGTTAACACTTTTTTCCAATCCTAGGAACACAAGATTGAATGGTTTCTGACCCTTTAAATTGCAGCATGTTCTCATTTTAAGCCTCCTTCATTGGGCTCTACATGGAGAGATGTTCTGATTCATTCTACTTTTGCTTCATTTTCAATCTCACCTGAAAACCAACTTTTCCTTGTGCTGTCACAGTGACAAACTTAAGTAGATACAAAATACAAAAGTGTGACAATGATAAACAGCAAAGTGTCAAGATGACCCAATATAGTTGAGATTAAATCTTATGACTTATTACTGTCATACTTCAGAAGTATTTCTTTAGTGAAAATTAGATAATATAATAAAGACTGTTACTTAGCACCAGCACGACATTGCAGGCTTTGGTTCAGACTTCAGGATAATTCCATTATCAGGGGGTTGACTAAGCATTAATGGTTTGTGGCTCTTAAGCTTATGAGCCAAGGTCATAAATATAGCTTCCACATGGTCATTATCATTGGGGTTTTTAGCGGAGGTTTCAAACAAAGGCATACTGTGTGTGTCAGCAAATTTCTGTGCCAAGTCTGTGGGCACCTGAATGGCACTTCTCAAGTCACATTTATTTCCAACAAGAATCCGTGGTATATCGTTGGCTAGCAAATGTTGTTTGCATTCCTCTATCCAAGATGGTAGGCTATGAAAACTAGCCATGTTGGTCATATCATACACGAAGACAACAGCGTGTACATTTCTGTAGTAGTGCTGAACCATGCTCTTTCTGAATCGTTCTTGTCCTGCTGTGTCCCATAACTGGATCTGAAAATGGGAAGAAAAAGAGGAAAACTGAAAATCTTATTCTAATTATACATATCAAGAAATTCATCATCTTGCATTGTCTTTACTACCTCTTCACTTAAAATATTTTGATTTCTCCCTTCCATAATGCTTTTTCAATGTTACCTATGGGATCCAGACCTCATAACACCAGTTACCTCATAATTAAATTATAATATAAATGTTGGAACAAATATTTCAATACAGCATTTTCTAAATTTTGTGAATTCAATTTGTTTAAATAAAATTATACTTCAAAATTTTATTTTAAAATGTCAAGAGAAAAATATATCAGGTGTTAATCATGTTAAGCATTTAATTCCTGTAAATTTGGTTACTTATGCTCCTCTTTACCTTTCACTAGTCTAATTTAAAATATTAAATCTAGGAAAGATGTTAATTGTTATGAGGTTGAGTCTCCAAACAAACATATACATATATATGTATGTCTATGAAATCCAGACCCCTTGAAAATTTAAGAAGGCTAGAAAAAAAGCAAGAATAAAAACATTCAACATACAATTAAAATGCTTAAAACTATAAATGTGAAAACTTACTACAAAGCTACAGTAATCAAGACTGTGTGAAACTGGCTCAAGATGAGACACATAGATCAATGGAACAGAACTGACGATCCAGAAATAAACCCATGTATCTATGGTCATTTTTAAGAAGAGTACCAAGACAATTCAACAGCAGGAAAGATTAGCCATTTCAATAAATGGTGCTGGACAACATGCAAAAAAATAAGGCTGGATCACTACCTCACACCATATATAAAAATGAACTCAAAATATATCAAAGACCTAAATTTAAGAGCTAAAACTGTAACTGTTTGTAACCCTGGATTAGGCAATGATTTCTCAGATATGATACCTAAAGCACAAGCAACTGAAGAAAACAATAGATAAACTAGACTTCATCAAAATTAAAAATATTTGTACAGCCAGGCATAGTGGTTCAGTACTTTAGGAGTCCAAGGCAGCAGGGTCTTGAACCCCAGAGTTCAAGACCAGTTTGAACAAATAAAATTGGAGGGTGGAGCAAGATGGCAGAATAGAAAGCTCCACCTATCATGCTCCAACCCCCCCCGCAAGTACACTAAGTTAATAACTACACAGAAAAAAACAAATTCATAAGAACCAAAAATCAGGTGAGCATTCATAGTACCTAGTTTTAACTTCATATTGCTGAAAGAGGAACTGAAGAGATAGAAAACACAGTCCTGAATTGCCAATGCACCCTGCCCCCCACACACACACCCAGCAGCAGCAGTGTGGTATGGAAAGCTTCTCTTGGCACCAAGAAAAGGAGAACATAGCAATTGTGAGGCACTGAACTCAGTACTGTCCTGTTAGAGCAGAAAGGAAAACCAGACCAAACTCAGCTGATGTCTACCCACAGAGGGAATATTTAACCCAGCCCCAGCCAGAGGGGAATTACCAATCCCAGCAGTCCGAACATGATTTCCTACAAACCTTGCCATCCCCAGCTACTTGAAAGGCAGTCTAGGCCACAAGGATTGCAATTCTGAGGCGCGTCCTAGTGCTGAACTAGGCCGAGAGACAGTGGACTGGGGCAGGCAAAAGACATACTGAGACTCTAGCTGGGGCAGCCAAGGGAGTGCTGCCATCACCCTTCCCCTAACCCCAGGCTGCACAGCTCACAGCTCCCAAAAAAAACCAGTTCCTTCCATTTGGGGAGAGGAAAGGAGAGGGAAGAGTGGAGAGGACACTGTCTTGAATCTTGGATACCAGCTCAGCCACAGCAGGACAGGGCACTGGTCATAATGGTGAAGCCCCCATTCCAGGCCTTAGCTCCTAGATAACATATCTAGATACACCTTGGGCAGAAAGCAATCTGCTGCCTTGAAGGAAAAAACCCAGTCCTTGCAGCATTCATCACTGCTAATTGAAGAGCCCTTGGACCCTGAAAAACCAGCAGCCATACCCAGGCACTATACTGACAAACTTGGGTAAACCTCTGAGACTTGCTGGCTGAAAGTGAGACTCAGCACATAATTAGCTGTGGTGGCTATAGGGCAAAACTCCTTCTGCTTGAGAAAAGCAGAGGCAAAAGTAAAGCGGACCTTGACTTATACCTTAGGTACCAGCATGGCCACAGGGGGGTTGAGCACCAAGAGGGCTCTTGGAGTCCCAGATTTCAAGACTTGACTCTTGGATGGCATTTTTGGACCTGCCCTGGGCCAGAGGGGACCCTACTACTCTGAAGGGTGAGGTCCAGGCCAGGCAGCATTCATGACAAGCTGCCTTAAGAACCTTGGGCCTTAAGGGAACATTGATGGTAGTCTGGCAGTACTCCTCATGGCCTGGGGTGGCAGTGGCTACAAGTGGGAAGCTCCTCTCCTTTGGAAAGAAGAGAAGAATAAGGACTGTGTCATTTGGTTTGAGTGCCAGTTCAGCCACAGTACAATGGAACGCCAAGTAAACTTCTAAGATTTTTAACTCTAGTCCCTGACTCCTGGAAGGCACTTCTGGACCAACCCAAGGCTTAGGGGATCTTGCCACCCTGAAGAGAAGGACACAGGTCTGGCTGGCTTTGCCACTTGCTGACTGTAGAGTCCCAGGGCCTTCAGTGAACACAGGCAGTAGCCAGGGAGTGGTTACAGCCAACGTTACAGCCTTGGGTGAGATACAGTGCTGTGCTGGCTTTAGTTCTAACCTAGAGCAGTCACAGTGGTGGTGGTCACAGTGGTGGTGGTCACAGGGGTGCTCGTGTCACTCCACTCAATATTAGGTGGCTTGGAACAGAGAGAGAGAGAGAGAGAGAGAGAGAGACTGTATGTTTGGAAGAAAGTAAGGGAAGGGAGCAATGGTCTCTACCCAGTAATCCAGACAATTCTCCTGGATCTTGATCAAGACCATCAAGGTGGTACCTCTATGAGTCTGCAAGACTACAGTGCTACTGGGCTTAGGGTGTCCCCTAAGGCAGATACAGTTGAGATCACAACACTCAAGTCCTTTCAGATATCTGAAAATCCTTCCCAAGAAGGACAGCTACAAATAAGCCCAGACAGTGAAGACCACAATAAATACCTAACCCTTCAATGTTCAGACAGAGAAAGAACATCTGCTAGCAGCAATACCATCCAGGAAAATATGTTCTCACCAAATGAACTAAACAAGGCAAAAGGGACCAATCCTGGAGAAGCAGACATATGTGACCTTTCAGAGGAGAATTCAAACAGCTGTTTTGAAGAAACTCAAGATAATACAGAGAAGGAATTCAGAATACCACCAGATAAATTCAAGAAAAAGACTGAATAATAAGAATCAAGCAGAAATGCTGGAGCTGAAAAATGCAATGGGCATATTGAAGAACATATCAGAGTCCTTTAACAGCAGACTTGATTAAGCAGAAGAAAGAATAAGCAAGCTTGAAGACAGGCTAACTGAAAATACATCATCAGAGGAGACAAAAGTAAAAAGAATAAAAAGCAAGGAAGCATGCCTACAGGATCTAGAAAATGGCCTCAAAAGGGCTAAGAGCTATTTGGCCTTAAAGAGAAGGTAGAGAGAAAGGACAGAGATACAAAGTTTATTGAAAGGGATAATACAGAAAACTTCCCAAACCTAGACGAAGATATCAATATTCAAATATAAGAAGGTTACAGAACACTAAGCAGATTTAACCCAAAAAAGACTACCTGAAGACATTTAATAATCAAACTCCCAAAGGTCAAGAATAAAGAAAGGGTCCTAAAAGCAGAAAGAGAAAAGAAACAAATACCATACAGTAGAGCTCCAATAGGTCTGGCAGCAGATTTTTCAGTGGAAACCTTACAGGCCAGGAGAGAGTGATGTATTTCAAGTGCTGAAGGAAAAAAACTTTTACCCTGGAATAGTATATCTGACAAAAATATCATTCAAACATGAAGGAGAAATAAAGACTCCCAGAGAAACAAAAGCTGACGGGTTTAATCAATACCAGACCTCTGCTATAAAAAATGCTAAAGGCAGCACTTCAATCAGAAAGAAAAGGATATTAACAAGCAATACATAATCACCCAAAGATAAAAAATTCACTGGTAATAAGAACACAGAAAAACACAGAATATTCTAACACTGTAACTGTAAGTGCAGTATGTAAACTACTCTTATCCTAAGCAGAAAGACTAAATGATGAACCCATCAAAAATAATAACTACAACAAGTTTTCAAGACATAATCAATACAGTAAGATATAAATAGAAATGAGAAAAAGTTAAAAAGTTGGAAGGATAAAGTTAAGGCATACAGTTTATATGTTTTTTTCTGTTTGTTTATGTAAAGAGTGTTAACTTATTATCAGGTGATGTGGTTTGGCTGTGTCCCCACCCAAATCTCATCTTGAATTTCCACATGTTGTGGGTGGGAGGGACCCTGTGGGAGGTAACTGAATCATCGGAGTAGGTATTTCCCATGCTGTTCTTGTGATAGTGAATAAGTCTCAAGAGAGCTGACAGTTTTGAAAAGGGGAGTTTCCCTGTACAAGCTCTCTTCTCTTGCCTGCAAACCATGTGAGACGTGCCTTTCACCTTCTGCCATGATTGTGAGGCCTCCCCAGACACAGGGAACTATAAGTCCAATAAACCTTTTTCTTTTTTAAATTGCCCAGTCTCCGGTCTTTAACAGCAACATAAAAATGGACTAATACATCAGGTTAAGATAATGGGTTATAAGATATTATTTGCAAGCATCATGCTAACCTCAAACCAAAAAATATACAATGGATACACAAAAAGTAAAAAGCAAGAAACTAAATCATATCACCAGAGAAAATTACCTTCACTAGAGGAAGACAAGAAGGAAAGAAGGAAAAAAACACAAAACAACCAGAAAACAAATAACAAAATAACAGGAGTAAGTAAAATTAAATACCTAGAGATTAACCAAAGAAGTTAAAGACCTCTACAATGCAAACTATAAAACACTGACAAAAGAAATTAAAGAGTACCCACACAAAAATGGAAAAACATTCCA